TCTAAGAAGAGTTAATAGTTGATCTAATCAGACCAGCTAATATTACTTCCGAATGCGTCCTCACAATATAGAGATGAGATTATTGGATTTTTTAATGAGGCATCCGAATAAATAAAATACTCTATATGCGAAGAAAAGTTGGGTTTCGAGGAATCTCTTATTTCATAATTGTTGAGCTTACTTCCATTTCGAGTGAAAGTGTTGGGTGAGGAGATTCGAAGGTCGGTTCCACCAGAAGACAAGGGCGGATTCCTCTTAACCAGCTGTCGATTGGCTTTACTGGAAGATTCAGGCTGACGCTGTTTCCGAGGTAATCTCCTTCGATTTCGGTGAAAAGGTGCTAAGCTTTCGTCCGTCATATGACGAATATCATCAGAGCAAGGTATCATCGTCACAACCAAATTCAAGCTAACGAGTCAAGAAAACTCACCGGCAAATCCCTAAAAAGCGGTATATATATACTTTACATCTGGCTTCTTTGATCAGGTATAAAGTGATTTGGTTAGTTAAGGTCATATGTCAACTTCGATGTCTGTGCGTGTGTCTGTCTCTGTATGTGTATGTGCCTGTTTGTGTTCGCTTATGCACGAAACCCGCAGTGATGGCTCAAAGTAATTAGGACAGAAAAAAAGAATGTCTGTTTTTGGCCAGCAAGGTTTGATGACCACTACCTCCCCATTTCTACATATAGGTTATAACTATCACTCCGATTTGGCATGGTCGGACACTCATCTGGTTTTTTTGATGAGCCTTTTTTTTGTTTTTGATCTCAATGCGAGAGAGAAAGTGAGCTAAAAGTACAAAGTGACTATTATTAGAACCAAGACAAGAAAAGACTAGTTGCGGAAATGTATATAATGTTTAATTTCTTGTTCATTTCGACCAGCTGTATGCCCTTGAAATGGATAAGACTCAGATATGAAACTTCAAAGAATAAGTAATAGGTTGTTTTGCAAAAGTGTGACAAAGTATCCAAAAAAAGAGAGATAGATCTTAGCCAACTCACCTGAATACAATTTTTGTACTACTTGTGGCCAAATCCCACAAGCGAAGAGTGCAATCATAAGAGCCACTAATCGCTTTTTCCTCGTCTGCCTGAAAAAAAGAATAGTTTTGATATAGTGGCCTAACTATGTTTGAATAATCCGACAGGCTGGGGTTAAGACTGAATTGTAAAGGGATTCGATATGCTATGTTTGGAAATGGCAATATTCCGTTGCCACCCCATCTGTGCCACCCGAGGCGTTATCGGCCCTACCCTGCGTCTGGGTGACTAAATCGAGGCTCAAGCCTCTGAGTAAGTGTCATGGTCACGCCTTTGCCACATGGACCACGTCTTTTATAGAACCTGCTGTCAGCCAACTAGCTCCTATTGCCACCGCGTCTATCCTGTCTCTATCTCTAATACCAAGTATATGAGTTCCCATGCTCTAGTCTCTTGTAGGCCAACCCATAAACGCTGTGGTTCAACGTTAACCGAATCAAAGAAAACAGTACCACAACATTTGTGAGTTGGCACAGAAGAGACTAGCGCATGGCAAGTCATAGACTTGGTAATAGCGATAGAGACAGGATGGACGCGGCGGCGATCAACATTCCCAGCACAAGGATAAAGGGGGGTGAGAAGGCCAGCATGGAGTGAAGAGGGTTCTCATGAAAGCCGCTTAAAAAGGCGCACCGTACCACATTTAATTAAGCAAGTAAAAATTGTGACAGTCAAGACGTGATAGGAGGATATAGGAAATGTGAATAGGCCAGGGCAGAAGGGAAGATCCCATAACTGTTTAGCACACATTTGGTCAAAGGATCGGCTTCACTTGTCTCTTTGCCGAGTTGTAATATGGTGCTACGAATGGCAAAACTCACTGACGATGCCGGCGAAACGTTTGGGAATGTACCACGTCCACGAACCGACTTTGGAAATAATTATGCATACAATGGACTCAGGACAAGGTGCGTTCCTCTAAGTTTTCCCACCAATATGACCAAGTTGCGAAAACAAGGTCATACAAAGTCAATAATATAATTAGTCGTAATCACAAAATATAAATTTTCATCAACGACAAAACCACTATAAATATTCATATAAGAGAGACCTGACTGCCTTGAAAGTTACGTCTGACCTGCGACCCACAGGTAATTGTGGTCGTGTAGCATAGTGGTAATACAGCAAGATATACGCTGCACTACCCAAATTCGGTTCCAGTGAGAGGTGTTGATCAGGTCAAAGCGAATTTGAAACCCTGGATGAGAATATCATTTGGCAGGCAAGTAGGCCCATTAAGGTAACTACAGCTTTTATAGAAATAAATAGGTTACTAAGCAACTCTTTATATGGAATTTTCCGAGTCATTTTATCAGCTTGGCCAGTAAAACAGACCTGCACACATCGTACGGTATCTGTATGGCCCTGGAGAGTGGCAGCGCAAGCAATGCGTGACCAGCTGGCTGTGGCAGAGAGGCGCCAGAGCTTGAGTGTGGTGTCTGCGCTTCCAGAGATCAACAGTGCCTCAGGGGGTTGTGGCTGCCAGCTGGACAAGCACGCGGCAGAAACAAACGAGGAAGAAGTAGTTGGGACATCCGAGGTAGGATTCGAAGTTGAAGTAGGCCCAGTAAAACGACTAGATCGACTACTCCAGGAGTGGTTGGTATTGGCACCAATAGCAGATATACAGCTACTGTCATTACTCTTGGTTATACCCGAATTAGAAGACATTAAAAGGGGGGAGGCCAGATGTCCATCGGCGAGATGAGCAGGTGCGAGAGGCCGACGCACAAAGCTGAGTCGGGAGGGTGGCCGACGAACGGGTGGGTGGCCATCCATCAGTTGGCCACTAGATGAGGAAGAACAGGAATGCTCCTGGGTGTAGACATGTCGACGGCGATGTCTGTGTGTGGGACGACAGGAGCGCCGAGTTGAAAGGCTCGAAAGCGATGTGGCTGCATTATGAAACATAGAAGGGTCTAAAGAGAGGGAGCATTGAAGAATGGATGTGAATTTATGAAAAGCCACAGTGTATCATATGCTGGATATTTTGATCTAAGGCGAATCAACACCAGAACAAGTGATCTGGCAAGATATCAGTAAGGCGACTTATATATATATATATATATATATATATGATATGCCAGAGCCTACTTAAATTAAATGACTACAAGAACCATTAATATAGCATTAAGTAGATTTTGTATATGAAGGTGTCGACTTCACCAAGAGACGATAGAAGATTATATTTGGTTGTTTGGATGTTTGGAGAGATTTTCAAAATGCTTCTTTTATAGAATACCAAAATATGAAATCTTTTAAATAGGAAAATAAAGACATCTGACACTATCACAGTCTAAATAGAGACAATGATACTAACAAAAGGTGAAAGTGCTCGCATAAAGGAATTAGTGAAATCAAGGGACCAGATCAGATTTACCAATAGGTCGTTGCCTAACGAAGGACTAATAGTATAAAGCAGGAATCAGACAAGAAAGACCTTGTGAAACGTAGTTAGTACTTTGTCCTTAGCCATAATATTCGTGATTTCGAATGTCGGACCATTGACTTGGTACATTCCCAAACGACTTAGCAGCATTGTCAGTGAGAGGTGCAAGGATCAGTACAGAGACAACTTATTAAAGTAAAAAATTGGAAGCAATCTCCATGACCAATTTTCTGTTTAACTGTTGTGGCATCACTCCTCTCCCCTATTTTTTGTTATACCTTCTAGTGCTGTATCTCCTTCTCTCAACCCCACTTCATATGGTCTATCTGCCTATTCACACAATTCTGTGCTCTCGTTTCCAACAGTTTCGCTTAAGGAATGTGTCGCTACAAGTGGGTTTATTAAAGCGTAATCATCTCCACCACCGGTACCAGATGCCGTTTGAAGGGCTCTTAACCCTCATTCAGCCCCCTTCTACCCACTTACCGATTGGCCTCTCACCTCCCATTAAGGCACACATTAAAATACACAAGCACACGAACTGGCGACCTATATCTGTCCCACCTATACATTTAGCCTTCAATTTCATATCCAGCATCCCACCAGTGAACCCCCTAGAATACATTTTTGGCCGATTCAAGGTTTGATTCAGCTCCCTAAACTTGCCTTTTCTTGGCTTCAATTGACCCTCTGGAGCCGCTCCTTGGCGATGCCTCTTCCTGTTGTCGGACGGTTCTCCTGGGTCCAAACGTATCCTTTGTGATGTCTTCACTGAATCTCCAAGTCAGCCCAGACAGTACGCAAAATTATTACTGACCCTTCCCTCTTCTATTCTCCTGTTTCTTTGAAAGAGGATGTCCACAACCTCCATGATCTTCCATTTTATGGTGTTCTCTCCAAATGAAGCTAAGCTTTCTGTTGCCCTTTAGTCAATTGGGTGGCCGGTAGGGGCGATATGTCAAGGGGATTGCCTACACTTGTCACTTTGATAAGTTATAACCCTGTGCCGATGATGGCGTCTATCACTGACGATGCCGATGAAACGTATGGGAATATACCAAGTCAATGATCTGATGCTGGAAATCTTTAAATATTATGGCAGAGGACACGGGATTAGGAACGATCCACAAGGTCCCTCTGATGCTCCGATCAAGTTGCGAAAAAGAGGTCGAATAAACATTGTAAAGCTAAAGGAGACTGAGACCTAACAGAAGGCCAGGTCCTCTAGGTCTTCATATATATTAAAAAGATAATTTAAAAATATTATATAAGTTAGGGTAACATTTTGTGCTTTGATACTACCGGCTTTTTGTTTGCCTCATAGTAAGTATGCTCACGATGAAATAGAGAAAATTCGAAGTTTACCTTTCCGTGCATCATAAATGGCTGTTAAAACCAAACCGCTCCATTTCCGCTAAGAGTGAAGTGGAGTATAGAATAGGTTGAAGCCGTAGTTCACCTTTAAAAGATTATAGTTAGACCTGACTGCTCAATGCTCAAAGTCCTCTTACTAATTGAAGCCTAAAAAGGAGGATTTCGAATCCAAAGAGTGAGACTATATCCGCGTTAAAAGTCATCCCAGGAGAAAGGAAAGTCGAATTGAAGAGATATAGAAAAAAACAATAAATTTGAAAATTTACTCATTTCGGGTCTAATTTTTTATTATTATTATACTTTATTAAATAAACAGTGATCTCTAAAAATATAGTGAACTTGTCTATTGTAAGCATTTGATGTCAATAGAGTTCAATATGCATTATGGCCTATATGTATTAGGCTCAGCAATACCATCATAAAAGATAGATAATTTGTTCTCGAGTACTGCTTATTTTAAGTGCCCATTAGTAATAAAGTAAGCAAGATAGATATACGTCGTAGTTATCGACAAACGTATCCTAAATACTGACAGATAAATAAATTTGATGTTTGGAAGCATAAGTAATTCATCAAGCATGTGTGTTTTCTATGGATAAAACCTAGACAGATCAATGGTATTATAGAGATAAATCAATAAGAGAGGAAGACGGGGTCCAGATTTTTTATTTAGAATAAAATTCAATAAAAATCCTGATGCACTAGTTAAAAGTAAATGCGTTAACTGTATTGTTGAGATTATCTTATTTAATTTTCTATTAGGTTGTTTCTTCCATCGCACTTTTCTAGTTATGAGATACGTTCAAGCTAACTAGATCTATTTTAATGTAAAAGAATTTGGTTCCTGCAAGTACACACCTTTTACGGATAATCCGCATAAATGAAATTGTGCTGAGGCAAAATTCTTAATATTCTTTTCTGATTGTCCTCTCATTTCCTCTTCTTCCTCTTCCTCTTCCTCTAAGCGAAAGGCCGCCTCACTACTTGAGTTCCGAGGAAACGGAAACTGGGTATCTGTTGCTGATACATTGAGACTGGCGGCTGAGCACGGGCAATCTTTAGTGGCATCATTCGAGGACATACCATCACCGAGAAATGGTAGAGAAGGCGATGACAAGAAAGGAGATGAAATGGTCTGTGATTCACAAGTAGCGTTGGAAACCGGTGTAGTATCAGAGGACTTGATAGGCAATTTTGAAGGAAATGAGGATACTAGTCCGAATGATGAACTGGAGGATGAAGGAGAGGATAAGTAAGAAGGCGTGGTCAGTGGCGAAACTGTCTCAGTAAGTCGACCTGTGGAATCGGAGAGTGGATCTAGACTAGGACTGAGGCTGGATTTTCCATATGTGTCAGCTGGAAGAAATTGCGGTGGTGAAACCGTTGAGAGGCAACAGTCTGTATTAATATTATCATGAGAGACAGCCAAAACAGAAGATGAGTCAAGCGATTGTGAACGTAAAACGGATGACTTGGCTACACCGGGCTTGATACAACGACCAGTGTTAATTCTGTTATTTGCAATATCATTGGAAGTGGAGTTCCGTACAACCGAGTTTGCGCGCGATGGCAGAAGTTGGAGGCAACGCACAGCGCCAGAGTGGCCACGAAGTGTCTGTGTGCTCCAGTTGGCATTGGTACGAGCGTTCCAGACACAGATAGTAGTATCTGTAGACCCACTAACTATGCGATAGGCGTCGTACGCCACGCAGCAGATAGCTATAAACGATATCATTAAACAATAAAAATGAGGAAAATTTAATAAGAGATCAG